GACAGAGTAGTGGACACATTGTGTACACATTTTTAAATGATTATCGTTTTGTCCCCATGTGGTCAGAACCTTTGTGTGAAATTTGTTCTATTATTAAAAAACAGAACAAAAACAATTTGTAAATAAAAAATTGGAATAAAAAATGCAAACCAGAAATTAAAGTCAAGTTTCATTTTTGATTACATTTTTTCAAATTCCATGTACAAAATCTGTTCTTTGCTTGAAACAATAATGTAACGAAAGTCACTCCATAATTAAAACTGAATAGAAAACTGAATAGATGTACAGCCATTTTTTTACCCAAGTAACTAAATATAATAAACCTTTTTCTATAAAATGTTTTAAAAAAAGTAGTTACATCCAACATATTTATCACCCCTGAAAATGAGTGAGCTAAAGTGGCATATAGATGCTGCATCATATCCGCTTCACAGGATGAGAGCAGATTCTCAGCAAGAGCTTCAGACTGCTGAAACTCAGAGCACAGCACTGAGAGTCATTGAGCTTTCTGACCTCTTCTGTAGCAGCTTTTTCCTTTAGTACGGGGGTTTAATAAGTTCAAAAGGAAGGCATCAGTCACATTTTATTGGAAAATCAAAAGTTAGTGGTCCAGGAACTGTAAACTACAATACTTCTGGAAAATGGAAGGCTTCTACTATGTATAGATCAATCTAAATGAATGTACTTTCAAAAAGAGAGAACAAGTTTAAACTGTTATTGGAGGTTTGCAAGGAGGAAACATTTGCTGTCAAAAAACAACAACAAAAAACACTAATGCCGGACTCACCTGCAGAGTCTCCAGAGACATCTTCATGTTCTTTAATTCCCTCAGCAAATCAAGAGCACCGTCCTTTAAAGATATCAAACTCTTAATTAATGCAGAATTCCATGTCATTTATTGATTTAATACATGCTGGTAAACAGTTCTCTCCAACAGTACTGTACTTTTTACCGTGCGAGAACGGAGCAGTAATGCATGAGAGCACAGAGGTATACATGTATTCCAGTTGCAGAATTTACAGATTTTTTGAGAACACCTACCCTCTTCACTTTAAAAAACAAAAACTACACATGCTCAACCCTGTAACCGCCTCTGGGAGGGAACGCCTATTAAACGCGTACAAGAGCATGCATGAGCCCATTTCTCCTTGTGCACGCTCTGTTTAAAAGATGCTGTTTGCATCACTCATACAAGCTTAGTTTCTAAAAGCGATTTGCAAATTTTACACTGTGTCAGACTGAAAATGGGAATGAGCACACAGGACGGCCTTACGTAAACATATCATCAGAATGATTGACAGTTAGGAGGACCGCTTATTTTGATGATCCACCCAGAAAAGGAACATCTTCCATTATACATTTAAGTAATTTTGAGCTTTAAAAATTCATTACAATTATGCATTGCTAAGGACTTTTGCTTGTAACAGCAGACCTCCTTTTACTGTAAACCTTTCTGACACAACTAGGTCTAATGGATGTCTGGTCCACATATTTACAAAAGCTTAAATAAAAAGTTTATAGCAATAATTCATTATTTTAGATAGAAAGAATGAAAAATGGCAATATGAAAAACTAAAAAGATATTTCCAGATGTAACATTGTATGACATCACACCATCTCTCTTTGTTGTTGTCCAGTCATTTGATTATGAGCCAGGTTGACAACACCTGCAGGTATGTTCATGTGAATAGCTCAGCCCATCTACCGCGACAATCCCTCCACCAGGGTAGATTATCAAAGCTAGATTTTTTTTTCTTTTTGCAGGAGAGCAATTCTACTGCAATCATAAACTAGCTATGTTACTGTCGTAATAGTCTGCTAACATCTTTAGCTACAAACATACATTGATTGAAGCTAATTGCAAAAGACTTAGTTAATATCATAACTACTCATTTATTGACTAACAGGTTGGTGAATAAATGAGTTTCGTTGCCAGCAGCATCATAAAATTACAGGTATCTGCCTTTCTTTACTAGACATGTTCTCAAAGGCGATGTTTTGGAACATTTTCATCGTTTGCAAATATAAAAATTCAAGGCAGCTGGTAAGAAGAGGAGAGGGGAAGGTGGTGGGTCAGGACGGGGTTGCAGTTGGAGTGGAGATACTGTAGAGAGAGATCTGGTTTGTCACACATCTTGTAATTGTCTGCAGACAGTTCTCAACAGCCAACCACGTGGTGAAAACTCACATATTGCTCCTTTAATTTGGAGCGTTTTTCGATTTGTGAATGTGAATAAAAACATATTTTTTTTCATTTCACACACACTGACAAATGTTTAGGATAATAAAGCTTAGGAAACCATTGGTGTCTTGAGCCCCATTTACACTCGCCTTTTGAAACTGTGCTGGAAACGTTCCGAGCACGATAACCGAGATAACTGCTGAGTGTTAATGGAACGCAACCGAACCACACTAAATCGAGTACTAGCTCATCGGCACAGTTCACTTCTGGCTCGGTTCTCTGATAACGAAGAGCGCAAGAACGAACCACGTCATCTCCTATTTACAGTCAGCTGACTCATTTTGCAGATTTTCCAGTGTGTCCAGCTTTGCAATTCACTGATCTTTCCACTTGTTCACAACACGAACTTCTTCTAGGCCTATTAACCAAAAGTGTGATGTGACCTGAGATGATGCTGAGACTGAGGCTCTCTTTGGAATATGGGCAGAGGAAGATATCCAGTCACATAAGTTACTAAATGTTATGGGTGTCTGCATTTTTGTTTGCATAACTACTGCCTTAAAGGGATAGTTCGGGATTTTCGACATGAATCTGTATGGCATCCCCATCACCAGTGTCATGCAATC